ACTGAAAGCCAACCCGGAAAGTGACACTACAACCGGTGTTTCGAAGATTGGAAAATCCGTTGGCATAATGTAATACATCTAGTGGCGATTACTTTGAAGGGCATGAAATTGATTCGGAAGAATAAACAAAGAATTTCCAAAATAAATAAAATGTCACCTTATTTTTTGGTTCCGTGGGAGAGTCTTGAGTTGAGAGTAGGTTAGGTTTAGCGGGTTAAAGTTTCGCACTCTCTCGTTTAATGCTTCTCCCCTCCTAAAAATTGAATATTTCATTCAATAACTTTCCCTCACATCTTTGGATCCGAGACAAATATAGTAAAGTATCATCAAACCAATAACTGCCAGATATTCGAAAGTGGTTTAAAATTGGTAGTAAACTATTTTTTTTTTTAAGTCAAGTCACCTATTGTAGGATGCAGAACTCGACTAAATGTGTTAATTTTCAGTTAACATTGGAATAAGAATAGCTCAATATTTGTGCGGCAGCTGCAGTATCCATCTTCTGGTGTTTTCTCCGACAATCATACACAATTTAATGGAACCGTCAATTTTTACAAACAAAAATGTAAACATTTAAGAAAGCGAAGACCCACACCCGCAATTGGGGCAAAAACCTGACTAAAATTATTAGCTTCACACCAGAAAAGTGCTACTAATCTCTAGCTTGTTAAATGAGAAAAAAATTTATTCGTTCGAATAATGATTGGAATCAAATGAAGTCTCCAAAAATGCAAAGTATATTGTTTGTGACGAACCGAATTCATATTCGGCGTTCTAAATGAATGCCAACAGACGCAATTTAAACGGGTTTCTACTGCGCTTAAACGTTGTCCATCTGCGAAAGATCTAAACTGCACTGAGTGGTTTACTTTAAGCCGTTCAGTGTACCGGATTATAGCACCTGTAGAAACTAAGGCGCTTGCCAGCTGATAGATGCCGTTAATGGAAATAGAAGTGTGGCAAAAAATCGGCATTAAGCTAATTTAAATGAGAGTGCAGTTAGCTAAGTTTCGCCATAGTTTTAATTTTCGCGCACAATGCGAATGAAAAGCTTCATATGAAATCGGTGAAAGTTCAACGGTACGCGGCAGCAACCATGGCAAGTAGAAAGAAAAACAGCACTTTAACGCGATAAGTCGCACATTTGCCCAGCGGAGGCCCAAGCGCTGCTTTAATGCGCGTTGTAATCAAGCACAGCGTGCGGGGTACGCTGCATGGGGGCATGCGGTGAGTGCTCTTAAGTGTTTACGCGCCGCACACTAACCGACAGCTGCGTTTGCGGCAGCGGCGCCAACAGCAACTGTGTGAGGGCGCGGGGGCCGAGGCACACTGTTAAAATAACGCACTGAATTGCATTTTCAATTTACTTATCTGCGAGCAATCTCCGTGAATGGAAGTGACTTTGTGCGGAGCGAGCGAAATGCCAACGTGTCTTACAAATTTGATTAAATGTCGTTCGCACCGGAAGTGCTGCGGTTGCGTGCGATCACGCGCCAATGACTGAGAGTGTATGCTCGCTTGCGTGCGTGTGTGTGCGCATATGTCATTGCGCTATATGTCAACTGTCAACACCTCATTTGCAATTAAAGGATGAAAAATAAATAAATTTTATAGCGCGACGCTCCACTCACTAACTTGAAGCTCATTGCACCATGCGCCTGCATGTGTGTGTTGGCGTGTGTGTGTGTGCGAGCTGATGCAGTGGCGTTAATGTCGTTGCACGCAGCGCCGGGCGCCACTAACACCACTTGGCGTCATCAATAATCAATAAAGATGCCAATGTGGAATAAAATGTATGCGCGCGAGAGCGGTAGAGGCGTGCAGCCAAAGCGGTGGGGGTAATAAAATAAAATAAAATTTTCGCCTGACAATATTCCACTCAAAGGATAATTTAAAATTCCTTTTTTCGGCAATATGTGCAGCGAGGACACAAAAGTGCTGTGGCATAGAGTCTGCCGCTCGGCAGCCACTGAAAGCCGACAACTGGCAGCCATGCTGGCGCAAGCTGTTGCAAGCCGCTCACATGCCGCTATGCATACTCAAGCAGCCGGTGTGTGAGTATGTGGCTGTGATGGCACTTTTTGCTTTTTACATATTTGGAAATTCCTTTTCGTATTAATTTTTATTGCAATATTTCGCCCTCGTCGCCCGCCAGCTTGGTGTACATGCCTTTGTGCGGCTGCCACGCACATTCGCTGCACCTGCATAACTAAGTGCAACGCCGCTTTCAAGTGCCAATCGATGTGGCCGTGTCAGCAATTGCTTCAGTGTTGCAGCCACCTTCTACCTTCTTTGTAGTGCCGCCACCGCCCTGGCTGGTGCAATGTCACACACTGCTCCGCATGCTAATCCCTTTTAATGTTTCTATTCACAGCGTTGTGAATTCACCTCAATACTCGTACCTTCTTCCAGTTGACAGCAGTTTTTGGGTGCTCACACTTGCATAGAACTCATTCGACATTTTGGTTTTCTTTTTTGGCAATAAGCTGGAAATTAATAAGGCTTTGATCGAGTATTGAGCTCACCTTTGTACTCAACCGCTTTTGTGTATCAGCTTACGGATTAAGCATATACTTTATGCGTTTGACTTATCACTCCTTCGAAAGTATTTTGAGTTAAAAAGATAAGTTTTTAATCCTTTTCTCTTGCTCAGATTACCTCCAGATCTAAGTACTTGTAGATGTATAGTATAAAAAAAGTTCACTGAATTATGTACACACATTAAAGATACTCTCAAAACGTATTACTTTTTCATAATTTAAAGGGCAAAATCATTAAGTGGCAAAAACGAAAAAAAGGCATGCACAAGTTTACCAGTTTTTTTATGTAATTTTAACAAATCCAAATTCAACTAAAAGTACTAAAAATTTAATTAGGAAAGTCGTGCGAAATTTTGCTGCCTCAAGTCATTTTTGGCAGCCACTTGGAGCAAATATTTAGTTACATCAATAGTTCGTCGCAACTCGCCTCTATATGTTGGTGAAACTGGCTTAGTATATTTACAAATATCGCTTAACCTCTTCAAGCTTCCGGAATACTACAGTACCCTCAAGGCTTAAGTCTTTGCGGTCAGGAAAGCAGCTGAGGTAGCCAACAGCGTAGGAAAGAGCATAAAAAACATCAGTAAACACGTCGATAGCCAGGCAGCAATTAAGCCAATAATCTCAAATCGCATTACGACCGAGAATGTAATAGAACCAGGAAGGCAGTAGATAAGCGGCTGCCGGAAAAAGGCTGCATATACTAATATGAGCAAAAAATAGTAAGACTCTCTTCATAATTTTAAAAATCTTAATTTATTCTAAAAAAACTAGGTCGTTAGCGATTCACGTTTAATATCCGCAATTGACTCAAAATGGTTTCCACGCAGCGTTTCGTTTGAGTTTGCAGAATAGGCGGAAGTCACATGGAGCTAATATAGTGGCTGTGGCACGACATTGGTTGAAAATTTATCGAAAAGCTCCGGAACAATCTATGCTGTATGCGACAGTGCTTTATCATCGTGCAAAAATCAAGAGTTGTCGACTCATAATTTCATCCTCTTTTTGCGAACAGCTTCGCGCAAAGGATGCAAAACACCCAAATAGTATTCCTTGTTGACAGTTTGGCTGGTCGGAAGGAATTTGGTGTACACTATACTTCGATATTCGTAGGAAATTGAAAACATAACCTTGACGTTTAGCCTGCTTTGGCGTGGTTCATCTTGGACACTATATTAGGCCTATTGATTTCTGTTTCCAGGTCGTAAGCATAGATCCAAGACTCATCGCCAGTAATAATATTTTTTATGACGTCCTGGTGGTCGGAAAGCATTTTTTGACAGACGTAAACCCGACGCTATTTTTAGAAAAAGTTGAGTGCTTTGACTTTTCTTAGGACTAAATGAGCTTTCGAAATGGTTTTCACAGATCGTTTCAATATTTCAACGACGCCAGTAAGAACTTTGATTGTTAATTGAATTCTCAAGCATTGAATCCTTAATTTAATTGACTAATGATCACAGTTGATGGGCGTCCCGGACGTGGTTCGTTGTCAAATGGTTCTTCACCATCTTTGAATAATTTGTACAAATCAAAAAGAGTAGCTCGTGACAAACAATTAACGCCGAAGGCATTTTCCAACATTCCATTCCAAAAACACGCATGCTTTTTACACACACTGTCTCAAAAGCACTGCCGGACGGTTTTTGGCCTCTTCAAAGGTCACAATACGAACTGAATGGACACATGTAAGTACGACGATAAGTACAAGGAAAGAAGCATGAAAGAGACGCTGAAACTCTTCTCATGCTTCAGTATAGCATAATCTAGAAGTCGTCTTAGATATCTATCTCTATTAGATATCAAGTCATTCTTACTTCACCTCAAACTATACTGAACCTCCATCTGGCATTTCTAAGGTCAGTAGGTCCATGCGTGGCGTGGCAGCTGAGCGCCTATTCTGTAACTCGATTCGAAAAAAAATTTACTCAAATTCGGATTTTTTATATTCTGTAACACGATTTTCGGATTTTCAAGCCAATTTTCGAAAAATTGTTCGTTAGCTTTTGAGTTGTAGAAAGCAAAAACGAAAATTGTACGTATTTATACTGGCACAGGGTGGTAAAACATTCGCATAATTATAAAGTAGATCCGAATTTCGAATAGAATACATTTACTAATCAACATACAGAATAGGGCCTCTGGTCAGTATAACCCAAACCTCTTGACTTATGATGAATCGAATATCTCAATAAAGAAAATAATAATAAACACACAAAGAGAATAAGAGTAATCTATTTTGAGCTCTTTGTCTAACTTATTTTTTTGTTATTTTGTGACTATGTATTTCAGGCACAAAACTTTGCGAAACGCACTTTAAAGGTTCTCCTCTAATACCATATCCGTTATAACTAGTTAGATATGTATATGGTTACATTTTATATGACTTATAAATTATTTAAAAATATGTCGTCATATTTCACAAGGTATAAAATACTTTTTTATTTTATTCCCAAAAAATAGTTCAAGCTAAAATATCTTGACTTTTATTAAGCAAGGTCCTTCAAAATCATTTAAATAATTATTAAGTTGCTAGTTTTCTATACTTTTCTCTCAGAACGTGTATAGAAGGAGTCGTCATATCGGCGATCGTCATCATCGTCGTGGTCACCAAAGTTATTATTTCCACTCACGTGACGCTTTGAAGAGTCTGAAGACCAGGTATACGATGACAGTGGAGAGCTGCTCGAGCCACGTCTAAATGGTGAAGAAGCCGGGCTGTAGGACCATGGATGCGATGCTTCACTATAGCCCCTATTGGGAGGTGATGGACGACGATTACTGCCATAATTTTGGTGTTGATGAGAATGGAACGAAGAATGTTGTTGAGGGTGCTGAGCGGGATAATGGTGCTGGAAGTGATCATGTGGCGGGTGAGGAACCGATTGCTGATAATGGTGATGCTCGTGATAGTTTTCGTGATCATCTGTTTGTTGTTGTTGTGCATAGTTGTCATTTGGACGATTTTCAGGGTAGTGTTGTTGTTGTTGAAACTGAATTTGAACGGGACGGTCATGTTGCTGGGGCTGTTGAATTTGAGACGGCGGCTGTTGTTGTGGAGACTGAGCTTCATACCCCTCCTCTTCAAATTGCTCGGGTGGATATGGACGTTGTTGCTGGTGATGCTGGTGATGCTGTTGGAGCTGCTGTTGGTAATAATGTTGTTGGTTGAGACTGGTGGCGGAGTTTATTGTTTGATTCCGGTACAAATAGGGTGGGTCATACAACTCTGGGCGTGGATCCCGATTAGCCGTTATTATGGTTGGCGTGGGTGAAAAAGGATAAGTGTCACCATGATGGCTAGCACCGTATGCTTGATTATTATTGTTGCTGTTCACGTTCTGGTTGTGCTGGCTCTGCATTACCGCTGCGCCGCCATGATGCTGTTGTCCACTGTTGACACCGTTGGTGCCATAACTGTATTGGGGTTCTCCGGGTTGGCGATTGCCATTATCGCTGCCACCGTGATTGTTATTGTTATAATTACTAATGTGGTTATTGCTACTGGTAAGGCCAGCGCCGCCAGCGTTATTGTTGCCAACATTCACTGCAGTCGACACACCAGCTGCGGCACCACCGCCGCCTCCACCATCACTGTATGGTGATGTTTGTAGCGTCACACTGGCCAAACCGGGCGCTCCCGCCGCCACTGAGCTGCTGCCCGCCGACACCAAAGTCTCCGGCTGCACAACAATATTCGCACCCGATGTGAATGCCGACGCTGGCGAATTGCTCTGCTCACGCGAGTTCATTTCCGCCAGCTTCGTGTTGCGATTGCGCACCATATTCGTTGTCATCACCATCACAGTGGGATTCATCGCCTCCATATTCTCCTTGAGGCAGCTCTGCAGCAGATTCACAAAGAAAAAGAACGCCAACAATGTTAGTGCGTTCATTGTGGAGGCATTACTGTCGCTGGAGCTATGCTTCTTTTTGAAGCCCTTGGTCGGCACGGTCGGATGGGGACGGGCATAGATCTTTGGCGGAGGTGGTGCATAGCCGCCATAACCGCTACCGGCTGTGGCATGATGTGAATGCGAGCCACCGGTAGGCACATGTACCGGTGCATGTGCAGGATGATAGTCATAACCGCCAGCTCCGTCGCCATAGGGCGCACCATAACTGTTATCAAAGCATTTCGATAAACAAGAAGATATGAAACAAAAAATTAGAGCCTGCTATGTGGGTTCAGCATTTGTGTTCAATTCTATACTAACCCATACCCTGAGGGTCCAGTGCCACCGCCAGTGCCTGTTGCGTCATCGCCCCAGCCTGTTCCCCCGCCACCACCACTTGGGTACAAGCCATGTAGATTAGTTGCTTCATTCATCTCGCCCACTTCCGGTGACATTGGATACGCCATATGACTTGGATACCTGGCGCGATCTTCAGCACTTCTGCAACGGAAGTTGAGGTGATATGGAAGTATATTTATGTATTAAAAGTGAAATCGGGAAACGTCATTTCTATCTCAGCCTCACTAAAGCTTTTATTGTGCTGTTCCTGTGGCGCTCTTTCATATTAAACTTACCGCTGATATTTTACTATTGCCGCCAGTCGGCTCTACGCAACCAGTTTTCAACTGGTCTTAAGTCATGTTAAGGACTGTTCCTTTAGTATTATTTTTAACAACAATTTGAGGAAAATTTTTTGGTCTTATATTATGATAGTTAAATACACAGATTGCCAGTTCTTACGACAACAAAATCTGATACCCACGGACGGATTTTACCTTTTGAATTCGTTTCCTACTGGTCTGGTACTAGCTGTTATCTGTATAACAATTTTGGCAGTTGCACTTGAATACTTACGAATATTGATCCATATCAAGACTAGCTGCGGCCGAAAAGGGATTCACCGACACATCACTGTATGTTGGAGCATGATTTGGGGGCAAGTTCCCATAGTCCGTAAACATTTTTACCCTCTACGATCGATCCGCTTATTTCCCAATTTATAGTTTTATGTAGTATGTTTGTAGGCCAAATGTAAATATCGACTGCTTCAACTGCAATTTAAGAGATCAGAAGTACGGGCGTTTAAGCTTAGAAACAGATTTCCTTTGGATATAATATGGCATAAGCTCCACTTAAATAATTATAGAAAGCAAACCTTTAAACTCAAAAATTATGCAATAGGCTATTTTAGTAAAGTTTTTTAAAATCCATGAGAAATTTCGGTTTAAAATATACAGTTTTTATTCGACGTTTTGTTGAGTACATGTTTATTGTTACTGTTATATCTAATTAATCACAAATTCTGTTTCATGCCATGTCAGTTATCCAGATATAGTTTTCTTGTGAATCATGCACAACAACTAATCCGGCGATTTTCAAATAACGAAAACACAGCTATTTAAGAACATTTTCTCAAATCACTGCATATCGTTGATAAATTGTCTAGTTTTGAGGTTCTAGCTGGGTGGAGGTCATATCTGCGGTGAGAAATAAATGAAGAATGAGTTTGCAGTTTATTTGCTTTTTGAGCTCTATCTTACCTGGGTATAGTCATAACCGGGTAGTTGCACTCGCCATGCAATAGAAAATACAAAGGATCACAAGGAAAAGTCTCCGAGTTGAATTTAGTACAATTTTCTTTCAAAAATAAAATATGAATGACTGATAATTTGAGGCCGGCTATAACTTGTTCATACAAAAATAATTGATATTCATTTTTTTACAAGTGAGTGGTGTGAAGTGAAAAGTGTAAAGTGAATTTCGTGTTCCCTCAAGCGTCCATTGCTTCTCCAAGAACACCTCAAGGTTCCTCTAGTGACTTTTGTTTTACCTCTTCGATCAATTGAAAGCAGACTCCACGGAGCAGCAATTTCAGTTTGGGGAACAATAAAAATTCATACGGCGCCAAATCTGGGCAATACGACGTTGGTCGATGATATTCATTACATTTTTGACTCTAAATTCGGTCTCAATCGTGGCTCGATGCGATGGTGCCTTACTATCGTGTGAAATCCTTGAATTGCTCTTCCGTTTTGACTCAATTGAGGATATAAAAGTTAAATTGAAGAAGGCTGTAATGGCCATCGTGACAGTGGATTTTTCCATTTTCCATCATAGGATGAAAATTCGTTGCCATAACTGTATTGTAGCGGGGGGATCAGTTTAAAAGAGATGGAATAGACAAAATTCACCGCTCATTTTGATCACAGTAGTTCTTAGCAGTAAAGGGCCTATTTTAGTGCTGTCGTAGATACAGTATAACTCCAAAATATTAAACTTTTTTTTTGTTAGTTTCACTGTGTATTCTAGAAACATGTAAAAATATACTCTGAAGTTTTCAAAATTATGGATGTAAATTTTTGTTTCTTAATTCCCATAAATTGACGCGTTTTAAGCTATCACATTCGGTGTGCCCCTTTACCACTTTTTTGCTTTTACAAGTAGTGTAAATTTTCTATGTGCTATTACTTAAGGCAACATTTCAGTCTGAAAATAAAAAGTCATTTTGGTTTTTGTATTTTCAAACTAACTATTCAATAATATGGCTAAAAGATGATTTTTTAAAATTCCAGTTATTTTCGGAGATATTGTTCTTTATACACTGAACAGAGTATATTAAATTTGCCGCCACGTCTGTAATACACAGCAAAAAGCAAAACATCCTAGGAGATCGTATAAAATATTGGGTAGTCGAAAATTGCTTTTCGTATTTCTAATTAAACTTCAACTTATTTTTTTATATTTATAATGTATTTTATACATCCAAATATTATCTGGTCGACCACTTTTTGCCATTTTTTCGCTATAGACATTATTCCATCACTGTAAGGCTTTCTGGTTTCTAGGCGAAAAATTGCGACAAGTAATTTTCACAGGCTTTTCTTGAAGGCAACTGTACCCCATTAAGGAAGTTCTGCATTGACCGAAACGAATGGTAATCCAATGGTAATCCAAGTCAAAGCTATATGGTGGATGCATTAAGACTGCCCAGCCAAGCTCTCCCAGTTTTTGCCGAGTCATCAAAGATGTGTGTGGTCTGGCGTTGTCCTGATGGAAGACGAAGCCCCTTCTGTTGATCAGTTCTGGCATTTTTTCCGATTGCTTGCTTCAATCTCATCAGTTGTAAACAGTAAAATGTAGAATCAATCATTCGACTAAGCTGGATGATTTTTTAGTTTGAGTAGTAAACTTTATGAATATGCGATGGTTATTTCTGAGAAACGAACATTAGTTGGCGAAATTTTAGTTTGAATGAAAAAACGAAAATTCCTATGTTAAATGAATGGAAACTTAAAAACAATAGCGGCCGCTTAAAGTTAAGCTACAGCGCCTGGAACGAGGGAGGATTTTTATTTCATCAATCACTAACATTTAAGGTGGTAAGAGTTGAAAAAAATTAAAAAAAAATTTTTGAAGCACCCTAATGATTAGTAATTTATTATTTAATAGCAATGTTAGAGAATGTTATCCACAATAAATATACGCAAAACAAGCTTTAAGGAATTTCTTTGAATTTTTTTTTTACATAAATTTTAAGATTATATGGAAAATGTCAGTATACAAAAGTTGTAGACTAAGTCATTACCTACAACAATGCCACATAAATTTTTACTAGAGGACTCGTAGTTTTGCTGGAAATCGAGATAAACCAGCAAAATTCAATCACGCTCCTCTTCTTTTTTTCTCGACCTAAGATGACCTGTAAATTATTTTTCTCTAATTGTTTGTTAACTTATCGTTTGTGTCCGATGGGTATCATTCTAGCATGATCCTCTTTTTATATCTTTTATAATTTTGAAAAACTTCTACACTAGTCCAATAGCGGGATTTAAATTTGACAATCATCACTTGAAACTCATTATATTATTTCACTTTAACGCAATATTAGTAAAACATGTCGCCTAAGCAGTCGCTGGATAAATACCGTTTAGTGAATGCTACCAAAAACTTCATTTCAAAAGACACGAATCTAGAATCAAACTTTTAGTGTAAGCAGATTGCAACTACAACAAACAGATATCCTAAACAAACAACCGCATCTGCGACATGTTAACTAAACAACAAAAATAATTATCAACTAGAAATGCACTTCGAGGCAAGCTGTGAAGACGCGTCAATTCCCCGACTACAAATTTCCGAACCGGCTTGAGAAGTGCTGCGGGCAGAAGCGAACAGCAGCCACTAACCGCCAAACTAAGAGTCGTCAGCCGCCAACGCGAAACCACAATTGACAATGTCGTGTGGACAACTGAGGCAGCGACGACGCCGACGCTGACCGTAACTGCGACAGTGTCAGAAATTTCAAGTTTGAGGCGAAGAAGCACAGGCACATGCATGTGCGAAGTGTCTCCACGCTAAAATTTCACAGACAATTGGTGGCAAGTGATGCAAATTACACGCTGGTGGTTGTTGTAGCGCTTGGCGTTGCGGTTGCATGCACGCACAGCCTCATAATCTGTCACATATATGTGTTCACCCATAACGGTAAATGTTTATGCGCACATTTATTCAATTGCCGGCTGCCATGCGCCGCCCAAACGCCCAATGTCTAAGTGACCCACACACGCACACACACGAGAATTGGAGCGCGGAGAGCTGAGACACGCACGACAATGGTCGCAACACCAGCGCTAGCAAACAGCTAGCGGAGGCAGCCACACACAACTGGAGCAAGCAATAACTGTAGCAAAAGCAATAACAATAACGACACCACTCCACCGCAACGGCGCCACAAGTGCTACATGTGCACCTGAGTGCTTATCTAGGCATGAACTCAAAAACATCAAATGCATGGCAATTGTGCCGCTGCGACGCCTAATACGAGTACTCGCTGCGCTCAGCTCAAGAGGTACAACTGTTAACACAATTTCCAATTGTTGTAGCTGTTGTCGCATGGTGTGACAGTTGGCACCTCACCGCTTGGCTGATTGCTGTGCCGATTGCTTGTTGCTTGCCAAACGGCTCGATGCAGCGATACCCAATGCTCCTCGCTGCCCACGCTCCCGCAAACTCTCAAGGCTCAATGGGCTTCTGGCAAATCGCCACTTGACCATGAAGTGTTGATGGCTCACAGAAGCGGTTGACAGTTGCAACATTGTGTTGCCGCCAGCGGGGAATAGTAAGTTTGATGTAACCACAGGCTCAAGCGAGAGATGCCTAAGCAATATGTCGGTATATTGATGTTGTAGTTCAGTACCGAAGTAGGTTCAAACTAGTTCTATTCAATAAATGTTATGCTAATATTATTATTGTTATTGAAACCGAAGCAATTCGAAGCCCAATTGCCCAATTGCTTCAAATTTGCGTCGCACTTTCTTTCTAATAAAATAACTAAGTTTTCTATGGTTTTAAGTAAGGTTAGGTTAATCTGGTAGCCAATAACCCACGCATTGGCCTATTTTGGCCCTTTGCGATACCAGACGGAGTTCAGTTTCTAGGTCCAAGAGAAGTAGTCATCCTTTAGGAAGTCTGTACTTAACACGATTTTGATAGACTTTGCGGCCTCACTATTGATTCCTCCAGTGTATGGTATCATACCGTGGGGACCCCAGATGCCAATGCGGAACAAGTGCACAAAACATGCTCTATTATTTCCCTGGTACTCTGCTGTAAACATTTACTGCAGTCTTCTCGATCTGTCAGCCCCATCTTGCGATCATGTGTCGCCACCAGACAGTGACCAATTACTATTAGGATCATATTCCTACAGTCACTTCTATCAAGTGCCAATAGGAATGCTGTGTACTTCCGATCTATCGTATTGCACATGACTTTTACAGTCTTTCATCGGGTTTTTATATTTCTTTATCATGCTTCTGTAGAGTTCTTCATATAGGCAATGATTGGGTTTTCCAACGTTGCGTACGTTCTCGGATGTTAACCTTACATCATTCTTGACAATCCCGTCCACTATTTCATTGCCCTCGATTTGTGGCCTGGCACCCAGTAGAAGTGAACTTGTCTCACTCATCATTATCGTTCTGCTACATGGTGCAGATGCATGAAGGATGACAACATCTGATGAGTCGACGTTACGAGTTTTCGAGAGAAAGGTTCTGCGGAAGAGTTTTGATCCTTTGCGCATTGGTAACGGGGAATACCTCAGTCGATAGAACGGTAAACTGAACGAGACTGTATATGGCGATATTTACATGGTTCAGCGAATCAAGAGACAGCGGCTACACTGGCTAGGTCATGTCATCCGAATAGATGAAAACGGTTCAGCTCTGGGAGTATTCAACGCAGTACCCGCTGAGGAAGCATAAGAAGAGGAAGACTTCCACTCCGTTGGAGAGAGCAGGTGGAGAAGGATCTAGCTACACTTGGAATCTCCAATTGGCGCCAAACAGTGGAAAGGAAGAACAACAAACGCGCTGTTGTAAATAATAAGAATGTAACGATAGAGCCTTGAAACATTCACAATTATTGAAAAAATCTCGTTCCATACACTTTTCAGGATTATCCTCTCGTTGAACTTTTTCATCGATTCTTAGGCCATGTGGTAAGTTGTGTAACGGCATTAAAATCAGATCAAAATTGAACTTATGTACAAGCAAAGCAGCTACTTGACTCATGCGAGGCGTTCATCCACCGCTGATAATGACAATAAAATCAAAATATAGAAACAGTGATTGACGTTGACATTTGCGAATCTGCGGATGATCTCAATGTTCCTGATGGATCGACGCAACCATTTCGGTTAACGTTTTGGGCAAGAAGCGTGTCAATGCTAGACTCGCACCAAAACCACTGTAGAGAGAGAGACCGCAAAAAAGATGCTGAAACACGTT